TCATCACGTAGGTGCCTGTGGTTTAAAAAGTATTATGTATCAAAGTTAAACATTTACTACCAGTCGCTTCAAATAGTTAGGTAGCGCTACTGTTGTGCAATAAGACGAAGGTTTCGGTTTTGCCGGTGTGACAGCCAGTCTCTTTACGATTCGTTTCGGTAGTAAACTGGTACTGGTATATGCCAAAGAGTTAAACTCGCCAAACTTGCTTGTAGACAGCCCTCAAAACAGGGAGATATCGGCAATCTTCTCAGCCAGTGATTGGTGTTTGCATTTGTTACCACTCGGGCTACTTCCCAAGTGCCTCCGCCACTCATTGAGAGTGAAGTAAGAAGTTTTTGAATTTTTTTGATTTTTGATTTGCCATCACAGGAAATTAAGCGTTTCTTGCCCTATACTTTGTTTCTGTTCTATTTTTCCAGAATTAGCAATTTCTGTATTTTCAGACCACAGCACAAGCAATGTAAGTGCAAAAATTGTTGAAAGCTTTGCATTTTTATGCAAATACAAATTCGAGAGCTCTTTTTTGACAATGTATTTTTAATATTAATCCAAGTCGGAATGCACTGGACGAGCTCGTGCGATCATGTATTTTTGCATCGGACTTGAGGTACTCAGGTCATTAACTGCATGAATGGTTCATGCTTTATACCTACCTTGTGCGGTCACTAGCACAAATCAACATAAATTTCGCATAAAGTAAATGCACAATTTCCATTTAACGGTCGTCCTTTAAAAGTAACTTAACTGTTCAGTGAGAAATTTTTCCGCCAAGACTTTTAAGTGCCAGCACGTAAAAACCAAGCATAATTAAGGCTGAATTTGAAATATTTAAATTGTACTAGGACAGGGAGCATTCCGCTAAAATTTTAGCTTTCTAGCTTTTCTGGTTCCCGAGCTTGTAATTCTCCCGCAAAGGCCTTCATACTCTCTTACGTGAGTACCACGCGTAGCTTGGGGCTGGTTTTGAAATACAACGCCTGAGCAAAATGTTAACCTTCGCTTTGCAAAATTTGAACAAAAAAAACGACAGACCAGCACGACTGTATGAAAATACGAAGTCACACCAAGTGTTAAGAACAGATAATTTAACTCGAAGGACATGAGCGCTCATTTTACGCCTAGAGGCCTGTACATTGATGTAAAAAAAATTGCTAGAGTTTAAAGCTTTCATATGTCTTGAGACCAAAAAGCCCGGGCAGACGTTACACGCAAAGCGACAAATCCTCGACGATATGCGTTTTGCAGTGAATTCATGACTGCATTGCCTTCCTAGTATACAGCACTATTAGCTTTCCGCACACATGACACTTTATTACCTGAAGAGCTTTTTACTTCATTCTTAGAGATTTTCGTTTGTGTAATAAGAAAAGGGAGAAAACTTGATTTATAAAAGGAGATCAAAGAACAGCAGTAAATTTTTATTTAGAATGAAGTATTAATAGTTAGCACGCTTAAGATGTCATTATCACCTTTGTCGACCAAACTAGAAAGGGGTTTTGGTCTGGCACTTATATCCGTGCACAGGATATTATAAAGAAAGTGTCTGCACATTTTTCTGAATAACTGCTAAAAAAATGATGTTTGAAATGCAGTCGCCGAAGAGAACAACTGATTTCCTTTACTGCTTGGATAAATAACTAGCAAGAAGGTGAGAATACACAAGGACTACAATTCCCGAAAACTTGTGGTGAATTTCTCATATTCCTTTATTTTACTTTTTTTGCGTCAATGG